ATGATTAGCCCATTTGTTAGCTTGTGGAAACCAACAAACAAGGAAAGGGATTATCTGGTTATCATAGCTGGACAACTTATGACCAGCCTCTGGAACTTCCTTGAACTTCCCAGGGCACAGATCTAGACTGCAAGAAACGGGCCTTGATCTAGCAAATGAACAAGCTCTTTTGGGCTTCATCTGGAACCCTAGTAAAGTTTGTCAAAGGGGTTCTTAGGGCCCCTAATGCTCTAATGGGCCTTAATGGTCCTGACCAGTCTCACCTGGAGCCTCCATCCACACCTTTTGCTGACGAGTCCCCCAGGCTCTATTTATCCTTGGCCCTGGGCCTTCAACCTACTTGGCTGCTGTGGGACTGGGTCCTGGCTGGTGAGGTCCCAGGCCTACCTATGAATGTTGTGCTCAGCTCCTGACTCCTCATCTCTTAGGGACCAACTGGTTTGTGCTTCTTTCTTACCCCAGGCTGATCTGGGGTAAGACTTCAGAGTGGGGAAGTTGAATATGGTGAGCAAGGTCCATCACTTGGATCTTATACAGCTACATCATGGGGAGCACGTAACACACTGAAGCACGGTTTCCAGCAAGAAGCATGATCCTTTCTAATTGTTTTGAAGGCCTGTGCAGGGACATTGAGTGTGCAGTCCCACTGTGTTTCAGCGTTTCCACGTTGTTCCCTTTGGTATGTGTTCTTCTGGTTTCCTTTGTGTCAAATAAGTTGAGAGAGCACCTGTGAGAGCAGGTGGCTTTTTTACTGGGGGCTTTGTGAGGATGTTTTTCTACAGTGCTTCAGGAAAGAATTTTAGAGAGGGATCTCAAGCCAAACCAATACACTGAAATTGAGCAGAATTTCTTTAAGTTGTCAAACCCTAGAAAGACCTATGCCACTGGTAAGTCAAGACAGGTACAATTTCCCTGCTGTCTGTATATTGGATCAATGCATGTATTCTTACATTTGTTTCCTCTACCTTCTGCTTTTTGGCACTTACAAAAGCAGTGGGTCCTGGTAATATCTTATTTTTAGTCCATCCTGCTTTGTAATGGAAGGATGTGTTATCTGGCTTCTCAGAGCCACAACAAGCCTGTCTTCTGTGGCTGTGAGCAGTTACTGTTGTGCTGACTGGACCAGAGCTGTTAGGCTCATGGACGCTCTGGCTATTGGCCAGCATATCTGCCAAATCTCCCTGCCGCTTTGTTCAAGGAGCTTTTGTGCTGCCACTGTCTGTCTGTTCCCTCTGGACAGGTCTGTGGGGTTGTGCAACTCTGAGTTTGTTTAGTTCCTACCTGGATGTAATTGTTTTGGCCTTGCACATAGAACAGTCTGTCAGTTTGCAACCCCGAAACTCCTGTAGGAGACCTAGAGAATGCATTGCATGTCAAGGGGAAGACTGAGTGGTAAATATAATCCAGCAAGCAGGGTAGTGTCACTTGCAGAGGAACTTCATACTTGCTTTTTTTTTTTCTCCCCCCTCCTTTCTTCCCCAGTCTCCTATGAGTCTGGGATGCTAGCTAATCACTTCTATAGAGGATTTCTCTAAAATTTCTAGCACATCTTAAAATGAAAAATTTATTTTTGTATCTAAGATGTGAAGAAAACTTCTGACAAGCACAGTGTCTTATTTCTATGTTAGAAAAATACTTTTATTCAACCATTTTTTTAAACACACCAACTCTTCCAAATTTCACTTTCTATTTTTCTTGTTTTAATGACCTCAAATCTTATTCCTGGTTTTCTTCACGAGGATGTAGTACTCTGGAACAGCAGAGCAGAAGGAAGCACATCTTCTAGCCACTCTGATTATCCCCTGCTGCTGCTTGGCATCCACACATGCTGCAAGAGAAAAGCCAGACCTGGAAGCAATCTGCTGAGAGTTTCAAATTCTCTCTGTTCCTCTCTTCCAGTCCATTAGGCCAGAAAGGGAATGGCAGTCAACAAGTTTTTCATCTGTAAGTGTAGTCCTGGGATTTCCCCCCTCCTCTTTTTTTTTTCCCCCCAGCTTGAGCTGAAGACCAATTTCCAGTTAACAGTCATGCTCAGCTGAACCTCTTCTTGATTTTTCACCCACTCTCCTCACATTAATATCCGCTTGGAACTCATTCAAGATATAGGTGGATCATTCCTCAACACAGATCTGCTTCCAACCTATGCTGATTACTGCTGTCTGGATATAATAACCTATCAAATATGGTCCTAATGTGTGACATAATTATCCCTTGAGAAAGGGAGGAATTTTTGCTGGGGTTTGGCCTAGGTCTACCTCTGATCAATAGTTGTTTTAGTCATTTTGATAATGAAATGGAAACCACCATGGTACAGTCTCAGGAGATAGAAAGCTGAAAGGAAGTTGCAGATCCCTTGGAGAATAGGGTTTAATGTAGTTTGATATGCTAAGGAAATAAACTAAAACTGGACAAGTAAAATTCAGTAGGTGCAAAGGCATGATTAAGCAAAGGAGTAACTGGGGCACTGCAAAGTGAGGGCAGATTACAAGCACTGTGAATTGGTACAGCTGTACTCTTGCAGAAAGAACGTGTTTGGGTCTGGTACATATTAATGCTAGTTCACTGCTAAGACATAAGATTCCCACAGCTCTCTGTCGTCCTGCAGTGGAGTCTTGTCTAGCACAGGGTGACATGCTTCCAGGTCTGTATTGGTGCTTTGGAGAGTGTCAGTTGAGAAGACCAAGGAGAATGCATGGAGCTGGAAACTGGGTCCTGTGAGGAAAGGTTAAGAACCACCTTTAAGGGAGTGCAGGAGAGAAAGCTGTAAAATCCAGTTTCCCAGAGTGTAAAGGGATGATGTCAACAAAAAGGTGAACAACCGTGTGCTGTGCTCACCTGCTAATAAGCAGAAAGAAGTAGGTTTGTATGTAATAGAGGAGACTATGTAGTAGAAAGCCCTTGCAAAGTCACAGAGCATGGAAACACCAGTAAAGGTTGCCCATGTAGCTATTGGAACCTTGGCTGGCGGTGTTTCAGAACACACATCAGCCAAGAATTATCTGGATGTATTTGTCTCAACAAAGCATCACAGAGGGGTTCTTGGAGCTCTTCTTCCCAGCCTGCATTTCTGAATTTGTCTCTATCCTTCTCATAAGCCTGGAAGCTGACATGGCAGTGGGAATTTCAGAGGAGTTTGTACATTCTCTCACTCTATAATGGTGCTTTAGCTTGTGTGGGTTGATGCCCAGCTTATTTGAAGGCTCTCTATCAGAAAGCTTTCCATTTTAGAGCTGAACTGTCTCCTGGGCAGGTTGAGACATAATTACCCCATTTACTGTAAGATTTCTCAAATTTGAAGGCTCTGACCTCCAGTGGTGTGTGTATGTTTATATACACAGAATTTTTGCAGCATTTGGCACAAGCAGGCTCTATTTCTTGTTGTACCTAATATATCTTGTTATGGTACATGACTGTTTGTTTTTCCTTACAAAAAAAATATACAAGGAGGAGGGACAGTTTGAGGTTTTCTTTTTTCCCCAATATGAAACCTCCTGAATGGGTGAAAACAAGTAGTGCAGCATATGGATTCCCCCAGCAGAAAGCAAACCTAGCTAAAGTTGTCTTACCTGATGCAAAATGCTTTAAAGCTTCCCAGTTGGAAGATGACTGATTATCAAACTATTACGTGGTGCTACACATCACATTTCTTCTTTGATTGAAGATTAAACTGGCAATGATGGGGAGAGATCCTTGGGACAGGCATCCCCTGGAGGTGAGCAGTGCAATAAGCACATGGCTCTTTCACCACATCGACTCCTCTGTTCCAGACCAAGCTACCAGCAGCCCTGTGCTTTTCCCCCTCTCTGCAACCCTGGCATATGCATGGCTCGTTAGCAGCAGCCTGGAAATCAGGAGAGCCTGCTATGGCAGCAGCTGCTTTTCCAGGGCTGTCCTATGTGCAGTGCAGTGTGGGGGCCGTTTGCCAAGGTGAGGCACTCCCTGCAGCTGGCTGAGATGGAGCCCGTGTGAGAAGGCACTGGGCAAATGGAGCAAACTTTGCTTCCTTGCAGAGTGCTTCTCCCTTACACTCTGGCCTGCCCAGCCAGCCGCTCTGCTCCCTGATGTGCATGTGGCCAAGTACCAGGGAGCAGGTGGAAGAAGAGCCATCTGGATTCAACCAAGCTCATTTCCAGGTTGGAACCAGGGGAGCTGGAATAAAGGATGGCAGTGCCTGGACTAGAGTGATCTCTGAATAGTGTGGCAGTGCAAACAACTACCTGTATTCCCATACCTCTGCCCCTGCATCAGGATTGTACAGGCTGTGCTTGTGGTTGGGATGCCCTGGCTTGCTTTGGTGTGCCTGCTGCCTTTGGGCCCCATGGTGCCAGCTGAGCTTCTCCTGGCTCAGGTTCTGCTTTGCTCCATGCTAGCTCCAGGCAGCCCAGCTGTGTGGGGCTAGTCATTGGGGAACAGGGGCTGGCAGAGATGAATAGAGGATGTGAACAGGTCCCTTGGTGCCCTTTTCCCTCAGTCTTGTTTCCCTCTCAGCAGGGGGAAGCAGTCACTGCACAGTCCTCTGCCGATTGCATCGGGGAAAGTCATTAAAAAGAATTAAAAAGGAAACAGAGAGAAAGGAGGAGAAAACCCAACAGCTCAACAGCCCCAAACAATTTTAACTTAGACAAAAGAACAACAGAATATTCCTGCTCAAAGGCCTTGTCCCTTCTGTCTGGTAGCAAAGCAACACTCCAGTGTTATACTGGGAGTGGGGGAAGGCCCAGAAGTACCTCCTACCTTCCTTTCCATCTCACCAAGCACAACACCAGCTGAGGTGGAACCCAAAGGGGTTCTGCTAATAATAGGGAGGTTGGGATGTCATCCTGAGATGCCCCTTGCTGCTGTGCAAAGCAAGCTTTTCAGTGATGGTGCGCTGACTAGCTTGCCTTAGTTTACACACCTGTATATTCTGATTAATACTGTGTATTAATTTGAGTCTCTGCGTTTTTATGCCCAGATGTATTTTTCATCCTGTAACTGTGCTGTGTTGTTACAACTTGCAGGTTTGTCTTCATACAGCTTCAAGTGCTGGTGTGGAATTGTGCCACTTTGTGCACTCACCGTTGAGCAGAGACAGAGCCTATGGAAACGAGCAGTCCCCAGACATCAGTCAGGTAAGGGTGTTTTGTGGTGTGTTTCTGGGGTGGGTGGTGGTGGTGAAGTGGTGCATTGTTAAGTTGTGCACTTTATGCATCCCTTCCCAGGGGTGTTTCTCTGGGAGTATTTTGAGGCATTTGCTCTGAGCATCACCATGGGGACAAGCGGGGGGGGGGGAAGGAACACAATTTGTATTTCTTTGATCGTTGTGTGATTGTACTCTCACAGTGTGACAGTGAAGGTGTATAATGGACCACGTACCTCTTTCCTGTGTGTTCCGTGCAACAACAAAATGCACACGCACTCACATAGAGACACACACCCTCCAGGCTCCAGTGGGTGTAGGAGAGAGAGAGTGTGTGTGTGTGTGTGAATGCTATTTAAATAAAAAAGAAAGGAAGTGAATCAGGGTCGTTTCCATTTTAATTGTAAAACAGATAAGCACTAAACACTTTGAAAAAGTAAATGACTTGAGAATAATTACTATCTATTACTCTGCATCCCAGGGGGGCAGTTGGAGGAGCCCAGATGGCTACAAAAATGGGATTTAGCAGAAAATTGAAGACATTATTCACCGTAACACATTATCAATTACCTTCATATCAATTACAATAACCTTACATTAGAAGAAGGGCCAGGAGACTATCTTCAGCCCCCAGCCTGAATAGTAATTGCACTACCCCTATGGATGTTGTGTGTGTGTGTGTGTGTCTGTGTGTGTGTGTTTGGGGGTGGGGGGCACTGCTGGGTTGTGTAGGGGCTCTGGCAGCTCCCTGTGCTCATGGCAGAGATTATAATAATGGCTCGGGTCCTTTTCCCTCCTCTTCTTATAGTCACCTCGTGGAAGGTTTTTCTCTGTCCTGTTTGTGTGCTCTAATGGTTCGAAGGGCAGCTGATGTGGCTCCTTCCAAGAAATTCTGCTTGGCTTGCCATTTGGGAAGTTTGGAATATCTGTGCAGAGACGGCTGTTTCGCACCAGTGTCTTCTACTTTCCTGTTCCGTCCCTCAGCCATTTCAGCCAAGCTGCTCATCTTATTAACGGGGGCTGGTATGCAGTCTGAGGTCCTTTTCTATAGGACCAGGATTTCTTTGGTGCAGCAATCTGGCTCCTTCACGCCCCGTGCAGGAGGTGGGAGCTGCTCCCTCTGCCAGTCCCAGATGGGGCACCAGCTCGTGTTTACTGTAAGCACTCACAGAGCGGTCACAAAGGCTTTGGATGGGATACGGAGGTGAACCAACTAGAAACAATTTAAAAAAGAATCTCTTGTCCTATTCTCCAGAGATGAAGGAAAGCATCCTAGGGAGGACCAGTACCAAGGCTGCTTCAGCAGTCTGGTAGCATGAAGGTAGTGCTAAGGACATCCTGTTGCCTGTGGCTGTCCCTTGTTGCCAGCTGGGGCAGCCCTCTGTGCTGCTGGTAGGTCAGTGCTTCTGACTGGCTGGCTAATGCTTCTGGCTTGCCATGGTGTCATTCTGAAGTCCCACCTCCTGCATTTGTGCTTGATCCTGCTCAGCCAACTGTTTACATCCAGATCTAGCTGTTGTGGTTTTATTTTCAGCTGTGATCCAAACAGGATTCACTGCTATGGCTCGTGGTCTGTGTGCAAATGTATGTGTGGGAGATGAGCATCAGGGCAATTATGAGTTAAACTCTTGGTGACACTCCCTCCAGCCTCCCCCCTCTCCCAAATATGCAGTGGAGTGTCCAGTGGGTTAGTGCATGGAGAGGACTAATTGCTATTAAAAGGCTTTAATCTGGGAGATTAGTGCTGGCTCCAGGCGCTGTTTGCACACGAAGGAGACGTTTCCGATGAGATGAACTAGAATTCGTCCCTGCTGTTTTGTTGATAGAAAATCATGTTCCCCTTGGTTTTTTCTCTTTATCTCTGTCTCTCTTGCTTTCTCTCTCTCTGATCATTTGCTTTTGCGTCTTCCTCGAAGTTGAGCTAAGAGCCTTATTGTTTTTAGAGTAACAGTCCTCTTTGACCTTTGGGTTTGGAAATGCATACAGACATGCATGTACATACACGTGCAAGCCAGAATTTTGTGCTCCAAGGAATGCTTTAGGAAATGCATCCTGGTCAAGAGAAGTAATGATAAATACATTTCCCCTTTGCCTGCTGTTGAGTCTGTTGTGGATGAGTGAGGTGCCTGAAGAACCCTTCCTGTAATGCAGGCCAGGCCAGTCTCCTTCTCCTGGGCAGAGGCCTGATCAGGAGACATAAGAAAGAGATGTTGCAGACTTAACATCTTAAAGCTTCCTGCAAAGGTAATTAGTGGGAGGTAATTAAATGATTACATATGGGAAGGTGTAGAGCATTACTGGACCTCCAACATGACCCAGGAAATGTCACCATTGGCTTTAATGAACAATGGATCAAGCTCAATGGAAATTAATTTGATAACACACCAGATGTGTCCAGAGAGCCTGTCCATGAAGGAGACACGTTTGACCTGGGAGCACGGAACATTTTGTGCTACTCCTAGCAGAGGATCCAAAACCAGAGATGCTTACTCTGAACTCACTGTTGTCAGAAATCCAAGCTTGTCTATCAGGTCTGACTATCTAGGCAGATAATTGCTGCTGCTCCTACTGTCCAGCTAGAGTTTTCACAGCATCCTAAGGACATTAGTGCCAATTCACCTGGAAAAGTGCAAAGGAAAAAATGGACAGTATTTGTATGTAACTTGAGTGGAAGTAAGTAAGGCATTGTATCCCAAGGAGAAGAATGTGTAGAAACTCGAGGAGAAAAGGAGGTCTCAGGCAGAACCACAAGGTGACAGGTTCCTTCTGACTTTGAAGGTGGTCAAAGAAAAACTATGACAGAAAAATGGTAAGTGGGAATGAGCATCCTCAAATCAATGAAGCTGAGAATCAAGAGGAAAGCTGAATGGGGACAGAACTGATTCAGGATCTAGGTCTTCTAGGTGTTCAAAAAGGTAAAGGCTTTTCAGGGAAAATATATTGTATTTGCAAAGTGTCACGCACATGTCTTCTATGCTCTATCTGAATACTACAAGCACTGCTGCTTTGGATGCTACCAGAAATTTCCATGAGATTGCACCTATGCTTATTTGCACCATCTGCAGGCGTTTTAGGAGGTGAAAATCGGGCACTGGGAGCAGAGAAAGGAAAACTAAGTCAGCTCTATAACCCTGGGCTGCTGCAGTGGTTGTGGAGCCCATTTTTTTGCTTGGCCAAGAGGTACCAAGATATGAAGCACAGGTAGAGCATGGGTCCTCCTAGGAAGGCTTTGTTGTTACTGGTGTTTTCATTAATAGTCTCTCTCTCTCTGTCTCTCTTAACTTGCCTGAAAATCCAAACTGTTGGCCAGCAGGAGGCCAAATCTACTGCTTGGGTAAATTGCTCTAGTTCCATTGTTTGCCCTTGTTCCCTCAAGTTTGCAGATGATGCTGATGTAACCAGAGTGAGGATCTGGCCTCTATCATGTGTTTGTCCCATCTGCTGTCCAGCATGTTAATTTTCATGGAAGACACAAACTTGCACGGACTGTGATTTTAAGGAGGGGCCCTTTTCCTTTCCGAGAGCCAACTGTGAGGCCTCAGGGGCCAGATTCTGAAAGGCAGTCAATGCCAGGATCAGGAGGGGCTGGGAACCTGGATCCTGGCAATCTCTGGGTTGCGGTCCAATACTGCCAAGGCCACAGGGAAGCATGTGTTAGACTTTTGCATAAAAGCGTAGATGATATCAAAGATTTTTTGACAGCAGCATCCTTGGATGGAAGGGCTAGGCTTGCGAAAATCCGACTTGGCTGAAATGAGCCTTGAAAAAATCCTTGAGGGGTTTAGGAATATTGGGGCAGGGAACATATTTCCACCGCAGGTGTCAAACATTGTAAAAATACTGATTTCATTGAGAAAAAAGCCAGAAGGCTGAGCCATTTAAGGAAGGTATACCTGTTTCTCAAATAACTGCTGCTTTGTTAGGAATTAACTTATTTTTGAAAACAAAATGTTTGCTAACCTTGTCTTCATCCAGAAATGCTCCTCCTTTGCTTTGGCCAATCTATGCTCAAATTTTGACATCAGTCTCTTGCTTTATATGTGGTTTCCTAAACTAAGTCCTGGTTCTGGGAGCACGATAAAGTCAATTGCATCCTTTATTCTGACACGAGTGTCTTTTGTGCTCTCTTCCTGGCCTTCTTCATTAGAAAGTCAACCCCATAGAGCACCTCTACTGCCTTGGACTGCCGTGGCCAAATATCTGCTTAGCAGACTGCGTTTCAACTTAGTATAAGGGGAAAAAAAAGGCAACAGATACGTGAGAAGGGTTCCATTTCTTTGCTGATCCTCTTCATCCCTTCAGTTTCAACAGGAGCAGAAAGCAAGTCCAGACTATTGTTCAAGTGATCCTTCTAGCATTTCATGCTGCAGATATTTATTGCTATTACTATGTAGATGTCATAATATGCTCAGTGATCTTAAAAGTCTTGTGTTTGAGATATAAGGTGTGTGATACTTGAGATTTTTTTTAAATGTTCAAGCCTTATTTTAAAAAAATCTGAACCATGAATTTAATTCTATCCAAACCACTGTTTACTTTTGTTGATATCATTAAGATACATTTCTTGATTAGTACTGACTTACAAATGGCTTATTTTATGTTTGGGTGGCGGTGTTATTAAATGTTTTATTGCAAGTTTCTTGAAAACTAATGAGTTTCTGAAGATCCCAGCTCTTAGAATCAGGTGAGCAGATGAGTGTCAGCTGTCCTTCTAGTTCATTACCTTTTCAGAGCTTGTATGTCCAAGGTGTGTAGTAAATCAGAGTAAACATCCTGGGAACATATTAGAAACTTGAAATTCACAAGGTACTCAATGTATGATGATATAAAATATTTTAAGGACTTTAAGTGAACCTTCCGTTTTTAGCTGAAATGGCATACAATTTTTGAATGCCTTATAATGGAACTTTCACAGGTAGGCTTCTGGTCCCTCTCAGGTATTTGTGAAAATTGCTCTTTTATCTTATTTGTGTCACTGCATGATTAGGGAGC